CGTATAATAACACTGTAATGTATAATTACATTGTAATAAATGTATAATAACACTGTAATGTATAATTGCATTGTAATAAACATATAATTACATTGTAATAAATGTATAATTACATTGTAATAAAGGTATAATTACATTGTAATGAATGTATAATTACATTGTAATAAAGGTATAATAACATTGTAACAAATGTATAATTACATTGTAAAAAATGTATAATAACACTGTAATGTATAATTACATTGTAATAAACATATAATTACATTGTAATAAATGTATAATTACATTGTAATAAAGGTATAATTACATTGTAATGTATATTACATTGTAAAAAACGTATAATTACATTGTAATAAATGTATAATAACACTAATGTATAATTGCATTGTAATAAACATATAATTACATTGTAATAAATGTATAATTACATTGTAAAAAAGGTATAATTATATTGTAATAAATGTGTAATTACATTGTAATAAACGTATAATTACATTGTAATAAATGTATAATAACACTGTAATGTATAATAACACTGTAATGTATAATTACATTGTAATGTATAATTGCATTGTAATAAATGTATAATAAACAATGTATAATTACATTGTAATAAAGGTATAATAACATTGTAATAAATGTATAATTACATTGTAATAAAGGTATAATAACATTGTAACAAATGTATAATTACATTGTAAAAAATGTTTAATAACATTGTAATAAATGTATAATAACACTGTAATGTATAATTGCATTGTAATAAACGTATAATAACACTGTAATGTATAATTACATTGTAAAAAATGTATAATAACACTGTAATGTATAATTACATTGTAATAAACATCTTTACATTGTAATAAAGGTATAATTACATTGTAATAAATATATAATTACATTGTAATAAAACTTATAATTACATTGTAATAAATGTATAATTACATTGTAATAAATGTATAATTACATTGTAATAAAGGTATAATAACATTGTAACAAATGTATAATTACATTGTAAAAAATGTATAATAACATTAATGTATAATTACATTGTAACAAACATATAATTACATTGTAAAAAATGTATAATAACACTAATGTATAATTACATTGTAATAAACATATAATTACATTGTAATAAATGTATAATTACATTGTAATAAAGGTATAATTACATTGTAATGTATAATTACATTGTAATAAATGTATAATAACACTGTAATGTATAATAACACTTTACTGTATAATTACATTGTAATAAATGTATAATAAACAATGTATAATTACATTGTAATAAAGGTATAATAACATTGTAACAAATGTATAATTACATTGTAAAAAATGTTTAACATTGTAATAAATGTATAATAACACTGTAATGTATAATTGCATTGTAATAAACGTATAATAATAAGGTAATGTATAATTACATTGTAATAAATGTATAATAACACTGTAATGTATAATTACATTGTAATAAACATATTTACATTGTAATAAAGGTATAATTACATTGTAATAAATATATAATTACATTGTAAAAAAACTTATAATTACATTGTAATAAATGTATAATAACACTGTAATGTATAATTGCATTGTAATAAACATATAATTACATTGTAATAAATGTATAATTACATTGTAATAAAGGTATAATTACATTGAAATAATGTATAATTACATTGTAAAAAAAACGTATAATTACATTGTAACAAATGTATAATTACATTGTAATAAATGTATATTTACATTATAATGAATGTATATTTACATTTTAATAAACATAATAACGTTGTAATAAATGTATAACACTGTAATGTATAATTGCATTGTAATAAACGTATAATTACATTGTAATAAATGTATAATAACACTGTAATAAATGTATAAAAACATTGTAATAAACGTATAATTACATTGTAATAAACATATAATTACATTGTAATAAATGTATAATAACACTGTAATGTATAATGGCATTGTAATAAACGTATAATAACATTGTAATAAATGTATAATTACATTGTAAAAAAGGTATAATTACATTGTAATAAACGTATAATAACACTGTAATGTATAATTGCATTGTAATAAACGTATAATAACACTGTAATAAATGTATAATTACATTGTAATAAAGGTATAATAACATTGTAATAAATGTATAATTACATTGTAATAAAGGTATAATAACATTGTAATAAATGTATAATTACATTGTAAAACATTTATAATAACACTGTAATAAAAGTGTAATTACAATGTAAAAAACGTATAATTACATTGTAATAAACATATAATTACTTTTGTAATAAATGTAAAATAACACTGTAATGTATAATTGCATTGTAATAAACGTATAATAACATTGTAATAAATGTATAATAACACTAATGTATAATTGCATTGTAATAAATGTATAATTACATTGTAATGTATAATAAACAATGTATAATTACATTGTAATAAATGTATAACACTGTAATGTATAATTACATTGTCATAAATATATTTACATTGTAATAAATGTATAATTAGATTGTAATAAATGTATAATTACATTGTAATAAAGGTATAATTAGATTGTAATAAATGTATAATTACATTGTAATAAAGGTATAATTACATTGTAATAAGTGTATAACTATATTGTAATAAATGTATAATTACATTGTAATAAACGTATAATTGCATTGTAATGTATAATTACATTGTAATAAATGTATAATAACATTGTAATAAATGTATAATAACACTAATGTATAATTGCATTGTAATAAACGTATAATTACATTGTAATAAAGGTATAATTACATTTTAATAAAGGTATAATTACATTGTAATAAATGTATAATTACATTGTAATAAACGTATAACAACCTTGAAAAGAATCGCTACATTTCTCGAAAAGAATCGCTACTTTTTTACTTCAGAAGTAAACAGTGTAGCTGACTTAATGTTTAGCTGACAGAATTTTTAAACCACAATTTTTAAACCACAACCCTCTCTAATGTCAGAATGATTTATTTTTTTAAACCACAACTTCAATGTGTGCTTCTTTTACAGATATATTTAACGATATCTTTTGCATTTCTAATCCAAAGAACATCAAACTCAGCACTGCACTTACTCGTGCCCGTAGCAAGACACCTGTCAAGTTTGAAATCCATCAGACTAACGGTTCGAGAGGTATTCGATTAACAGACAGATGAACAGACAGACGTTCCTGTAATTTATAGATAGATGTCCCATACAATATCAAAATGGCATATATCACTAGGATAATACTTGTAATGCCATTTTCTGGAAAGTTATCTGGAGACCAGTTGACCACGTCTCTACACCGTTCTCCATAAGATAAACTAGCGACGTCTTTTGAGGACGTGCCCACAACATTTCTGGAATTATAAAACGTTTCAAGATTATAAAAAATGGAACTTTACCACGACGTCCTCATAACGTTGTCATAAAGTAATGTCACGCTGTGTCATTAAAGTAGTCGTCACAACGTACTGTGTTAGCTGGGAAGTCGTTTACGGTATGATACCCAGTTTTCCTGTTGCTAGTTGCATAATCGGAAAGTAAAAGTTTAATGCTGTAAAATCTATTGTGTATTCCTATGGAAGCTTGTTTCCGCCACTGAATAAAAAAAAAAATAATAATAATTGCGACTTTTTATCTCACAATTGCGAGACAAGTCAGAATTCTGATAAATAAAGTCGCAATTGCGAGATATAAAGTCGCAATTATGAGAAATAAAGTCGCAATTGCGAGAAAAAAAGACAGAATTGTGACAGAAACTTTTTTTCTCACAATTGCGAGTTTACATCTCGCAATTCTGACTTTATAACACATAATTGCGAGTTTATATCTCGAAATTCTGACATGTTTTCTCAGAATTGTGAGATATAAACTCGCAATTGCTAGTTATCAGGCCAATTCTAAGGGGGGGAAAAAGACTAACTTTTTCCCCCTCAGAATAGTTTATATTTCACAATTCTGACTTTATAACACGCAATTGCGACTTTATATCAATCAATTCTGACTTTATATCTTGCAATTCTGACTTTATAACACGCAATTGCGACTTTATTTCACGCAATTCTGACTTTATATCACGCAATTCTGACTTTATATCACGCAATTCTGACTTTATAACCTGCAATTGCGACTTCATATCAATAAATTCTGACTTTATATCTCGCAAATCTGACTTTATAACACGCAATTGCGATTTTATATCACGCAATTCTGACTTCATATCGCAATTCTGAGAAATAAAGTCAGAATTGCGAGATGTAAACTCGCAATTGTGAGAAAAAAAGTCAGAATTGTGAGATAAAAAGTCGCAATTACCTTTTTTATTTTTCATTCTGTGGCGGAAACAAGCTTCCATATATTCCAGCTTTTATTAGTCATATGGGTTTGGTTTGAATGGGTATAAGAAATAATGGTTGGTATGAAAACACTTGAACATGATGTCTGGAGAAACCGTTGTCATGCAGTACACTAGAATGTCCACTAGTATGATGTGTAATGCAACTTCAGTGTAGACCAAGACTGTTTTGACCTCGACTGTACAAATAGTGAGGTTTCTAGTGTGATTACTAACCTACGATAGGAACATTTCCAGACAATTTATTTATTGTCACATCAATAAACAGTATGATCCCAACAATATAAAAGCACTTATTTCTTGAAGACTGGAAAAAACACTGTTAAACAACAGAGCAAAATACATGTTCTTAGGTTTTACATTATGATGTAATTCAAAAACAGACTACAAGAGATACATTTTGTGCCAAAAAAATTGTTAAAGGAAACAGTTTCCATTTTTATCTTCTGCTACTGATATTCTGATCAATCACAATAGTGATTTTTCAATGTCACCCATGTTGCAGCAGAGTATGAAATATCTCGGCCCTCCGTGACGATTAAAAGCAGCTAAAGCAAACGTGGCCTTTGGGCATCTTTTTCAAAAGGACTCCGTCGTCGAGTTCACCTTCAGCCGCAGTTGGTCTGCGGGGAGACGCTGTGTTTAATACATTGACAGCAATAACAGGGATGATGTATGAGCATATAATAAAAAGCTAATTGGGAGCATCTGGGGCCAAAAGGAAGAATTCCTGAAGAGACCGTGAAGCAGCTGTTTAAGACGGAGTCATAATAGAGATAAATGGAGTTCCACTGGATGATTTAGTCTCTTATTGATGCTGGAGGTGACTGACGGCTGCTATTCACTCCCCGTCTTCCTCCCCGACCTCCATCTGCTCCAAGATTCCCTCTAACACCTCCGCCTTCCTCCGCTTCTTAGGAGCATCTGACAGAGAAGATGAGAGGACAGATTTGAGCACAGATTTGTTTTAATTCAATTAAAGAAGGGAAATTACAAGAATTGCAACCAGTGTTTGGGAAACTTAACAAATTAAGGGCTTTGGCAAGCTGCAGTTTTCAAGCAGTTAAGCAACAGTCAAACTACTGTTTGGAAAAAGTATTGAAAAAGTTAGTTGTTTGACTATATTTAGTTAACAACAATCAAGCTATTTGAGGAGGCAACATCTTTTGAATTAAGTTACATATAATATTGATAATTTACAACAAGGCCTTATTTGTTAAGGCATGAACTAACATGAACTTACAATGAGCAATATATTCTTATAGCATATATTAACCTTTGTTAATAGAAAAAATTGAATTTTAGTTCACAGTGCATTACCTAGTATTAACAGATATAACTTTTGATCTTAAAGGGTCATGAAACCCCCCTCTATCAGCTCAAGTCTAGCTCATAATCTTTTTGAAAAATGCAACTTAAATGGGCGTGGATGGCTGTGAGAAGAAGGGAGGGAGTGGGTGTGGCACGGCAGGGGAGAGGGGGAACTGTCATCAGCCAGCAGTGTTGCCAGATGTACGATAATTATCGTATTTGTACAATAATTTTGACCTCTGTACAATGTACGATCAATAATGAACAATAATCTCAGAGTTTTCAGTCGTTCGTCCAAACACACATCCTACCGCTTCTCTCTCTGACCCCGAATCATTTCGCAGGCTCGCCTGCCTGCACGTACACACACACACAGACACAACACGGTGTCGCCCGGCCCGCACGTCAACACTACACATTCACAAGTCTCCCGTATTAAGCATACAATTGATATATTATCGAAATATCTAAAATGTTCATAACGACCGCTTATTTAACAAAAGGCAAGTAAAATGACCAGGGTTACATTTTAGAGACACACTCTGAAGGGATAGAAAAGTCCTCAGGACTTGGTACCGCATTACTCGCAAGACGTAACTTGCATTGGTCATCGACAAGGCCGAAGTCCACCATTCTCCAATTCTCGAAGCTCTCTCGGGTAAAATGTTTGCGGCACTTGCGTCCCATGATGGTCTCTCTCCTTTACTACGCGATATCACAGTTTGACATGTCTGTGGAAAGATCCACGTGGTGTCATGAATAATTAAGAGACCGTGTCTTCTCATAGGATATAAAAACTCAGTCTCATTAATAATTATGAGAGACCGATGAGTCATCAACGCACTACACTGTGCACTGCCACGTCACAGCCTGCGATGAAGATTTTAAACCCGGAAGACGAAAATAGCTGGAAAAAACTAAAATTTAACCATTTTCGCCCTACTATTAAATCTAACAGATGCTAACATTGTCTTCAATGTTGTTCAACACACATACCTCTGTTAAAATCTCAGAAAATTTGGTTTAGGGTTTCATGACCCTTTAAAAACTCAGGTTTGGAACAACTTGAGTGTGAGTAAGTGATGAACTATCCCTTTAAGATTAATAAATGCTGTAGGATATGGTTGTCAGTCCTGTATTTGAGTCCTTAATATGGTTACATTCACACACAGTTCAGTTATTTACGGGAGTGACAACCGCATTCTATAACCGAACTCGCACCTGTACATTTTCAGGACTCATAACCGCTTTCTCTAAAAACCCGCGCTGTGAACACAACTGGGCTGAACAACTAGTTGTCCGTCATGTCAGTGTGTCAGAGCTGCTCTGCGCTGCACAAACGTGTGTCTACCGTGTGTCATGGGTTTTCATATGTGGTTTAGCTTTCGGTGATTAACAGCAGTGGAGATATGAGCTGTGTGTCATCTGAAGGTTAGATACAGTCACTGTTCTCCACCGGAGCGGCTCCTGTCAGTTTTGAGTTCTACATGCGACTCAAATACTCCGCTCTCCATCAGATATAAAAGCTTCAGTTAATGAAGATTTGACGGATGAACTCAAGGCTCGACTGGACTCGTCTTATCAACAGTGATCAGACATTTCAGTTTTATGGACATTGCCATCTTTGATATTACTTTGGTCACTGTGACTATGTTAACTGTTAAGAGAATACAGGCTCGACTTCCACAGACAGTATTCGAGATGCTACTGTAAGTTGCTGTTTGAACATTTTGAGACTCACACTTGTAATTGAATGCGGCTGTCACTCCCAAAAACTGACAAAGTGATCGTAGCCTTTCAGTAAGTTATTCATCAAAACTGCTTGCAACGGTTAATGCTAAATAACTGTTACTCTGCACATAAAACAAAAATGTAACCATGAAAGTGCTGTGCGGTTTTTCGTCGCAGGTCGTCCACAGTGTCCTCTGCGTCTGCCCACTCCAACACCAGCCTCCTGCCGTACAGATGGGTACTGTGGCACAGCGCCGTGAACGCTTTCTGTGAGAGACCAGCACCAAATCAAAGCTTGTGTTAGATGTACTGTAACTAGACACATTGAACAGGATCAGTGTTGATTAGTTGTTTTACAGGAGACTGTCTGACTGTGAAAAGCACGAAACAGAAAGACGCAGAGACAGATGCACCCACCTTGGCATCCTGTTTAGTGAGGAAGTCAATGAAGCCAAAACCACGGTGGGCTCCACCGATCCCTTTCTTTGGCAGGCGGACTGTCTTCAGCTCTCCAAACGTACTGACAAAAAGAAACAACACCTGCACTTCAAATAAGAACTCACATGAGGACTATTTCACAATAATTACAAGGGTACCAAGTTTAAAACCATGATACTTTCACAGTCATTTTTGTTAGTGAAAAGTCAACATTGGAATAATTTGGCCTGTTCTGTTCTATAACATACACACTGTTAAATGTGAAACGAGGCTTACCAGAAGAGTTCTCGCAGTTCTTTCACTGTGGCCTGGAAGGGGATGTTTCGCACCAGGATCTTAGAAGTCCTCTGTTTCCTGGAGGTTTGCTTTTTCCTCTTGGGTTCCACCACACCTGACCTGCAAAAACAACAGAAGGAAACGGCTTTCACTCATGCGTGTGACTAGTGCCCTTTATTATGCTTGTTATTGACTTTATTGGTCAAACTGACTAAGAAAGCACATATGAAAGAATTTAAAAGCAATGATATTACAAAAAGCAATCTAACAAAAAAAAAACACTGACTGTATATAATCTTTTGTTTACCAAACGCTTCAACAAAAGCACACTGTGACTAGAAATTTCTAAAGTAAACCATTTATGTTAAACATTTTAAAAAATACAGGTCAATTATGAGTTACTCCTATGAAACTTTATCAAGTTTCTCATCACTTTAATTACAATATCTTCTGTATAATAAGTAAAGTATTATTACTTTCTGAAAACAAAAATATATATTTTCAGCAAATCCATGAACTCTAGGAGATTTGTTCTTATATTCTTTCACAACCTTTTCAAAATACTAATTTTGCAGAAAGGTGCAGTATTTAAAGAAAAGCATATAAACAGATAATAATTTTATACATGTTTGTAAATAAAAAAATAGTTTGGTTCATGTCTGTTAAATTCTTCGGGCTCATTACAATGCTGAAACAATTCTTCTCAGAAAATTACTATTACATGCAAGGACAAATATAATACAAGAAAATTAGCCCCAAACCAGACACATATACTGTACGTGAATGTTCTGAAGTATTCTGTACAGCTTAAACACCAGTATTTTCTGCCCTGATCACTTCCATCTCCATCAATTAGGCCTCTGCTGCTTAAACATCAGCGCCAAAGCAAAAGTATTCATATTTGACCTATTTTTCATATGATCATATTTTAAGTTATGAAATGTAAATTTGCAGTCTGAATTAAATATGAGGGAAAAAAAAGATACTGTACCACAAAATAATGTCAGGAAAACATGTCTGTCTATTGGCAAATCTTTACATGCTTCAGGTCAAACAAACAAAGTGTGACCAGTGAAGTCTGATTCAAGTGAAAATGACTCTTATGAGCTAGTTCTTGATGAGTTTATCAAAAACTGATAAGTTCTTCACTGAATGAACTAAATTTATAATCAGAAGGCTTGGCGAGCCCTAAGAGAGAGAGCTTGGGGTTTTGTGCAACCATGTCCTACACAGAACATGAAGATTTAGGACACAAAAAATGTCTCAACTTACTTGACTTCTCTTTCTGATATTTTTATCTCAAGCTGGTGCCCATCAACTGTGCAGTGCTGCAAAAAAAAAATGAAAGTAATGATGAAAAAAATGCCTGAATTTATTTCATCACATGAATATTTGTGCATAGTAAGAGTACATAAATACAGCAATGACAGAGCAGCAGATGGTCATTTACCTGCAGTTTTCTCATGGCTTTCTGTGCTGCCTTTGGAGTTTTGTACTGAACAAATCCATAACCCATTGATAACATTTGACCTGAGAGAGAGAGAGAGCCACATAAAGTATATAGATGTATAATACACAGATGAATATCAATGGTAAATATGCGTGTCTGTGAAATCAAACCTGCTTTATCTCTCTTCTTTGATATTGTGCAGCTATTCACCACACCACATTTAGAAAATGTCTGTCAAAAGAACACAATGACACCCATATGGTGAGACACTGGCCGTGTTTACACCTGTTATTAACATCCGTTCGGGGTGATCTGATCACACAACACATGTTGCTGCTTACACCTGCTACTAACATGCATCTCAAATGAGTCTCCTGTGACCAGAACAAGAAACCTTCTCATGTTTCCACTACAAAAACCTAAACCACAAGATCTGCAGTTTGCTCTTGAGCTCACCTCTTGTAATGTTTCCTCTGAGGTGTCAAAGTTGATGTTCTTAATGAAGAGAGTCGAGCCAGGCAAAATCTCCTCCTCCTCCTCCTCCTCCTCCTCCTCCTCCTCTTCCTTTTTGGCCAAGTCATTGTTCTCAGCATTTGCATTTTTGGTTTGAGGCTCTGAGTGGAGCAAGAGAAGGATGGATATTTAGACAGAACAAGAAAAACTACAGGAAATGCAGCACTGAAGTGTTTTCTAGATTCAGGACTGACAAAACACTGATTTGGATGTCCTGAAGGAAATACTTCAGAATTGTTATTAATTTGGTAACATTTTGCTTTACATCACAGGAATAAATGACCTTTTAAAATATCAAATATTGACAATAGTTATTTTAATTTAATTTTAATAGTTATTTTTATTTTTTGGTCAAATGCAGCCTTGGTGAGCATAAGAGACTTCTTTCAAAAATATTTAGAAAATCTTACCGACCCCAAATTTCTGAACGGTAGTGTAAATAATATACAATTGTTCAACTTAAAATGCTAAAAATGCATATTTTTTGCCAAACCATTCTCAATTATGAAATTAATAAATACATTCCTAAACTTTATTTCAAATGTAAAACATTTGGTAGCTAAAAGTAACACAATATCCAAAATATTTACAAACATGCCAAGGGAAGGGCTTGTTGGACGGTGTTCAAGTTCACTTGGAATGTACAGAGCTTTATATGGTATTGTGATTTGGAATTTGGATGATTGGAATTCACAGCAGATTCCATGCAGGACTGTTTGTGATTCATTCTCAGGTTGTCATTTCAAAAAATGTCACGGTTATGAACATGTGAATGTTTAGGCATACATATATCCTTCGTACAAAAAGATGAATTGCTGGTTTAAGCACCAACAAACTGATATGTCAGTATTAAAGGAATACCTGGTTTAGGTTTTGGAGGAGTTGTAAAGACCGCTACAGGAGCCCACTCCAGATACAAGGGAACATGCTGGAACTGGGGAGATAGACCGTATGACATCATACCATGTCCCTAATTCAAGCTTTAACTAACCAAAGGCACACATGATTATAAATATTTGGACAAATAAATATTATATAAACAAAAACATATACAAGTTCTTTTTTCCAGTGAAAACAGTAGCTCAAATGCCCAATCACACACACTGACCTTTGTGTATGCAAGCTTCATGAAAGCCCGTTTGGCTTCGGTGGGCTCCAGGAACTCCACTATAGCAGTGAGGCCAGATGGGGGCAGCAGAACTCTTCCCAGAGATCCATGGGGCGAGAACAAAGCCTCAAGCTCTCCGACCTGCACGCCTGAGGGCAAGTTCTTCACCAGGAACACAGAGTTACTGCGCTGACCTGATGCCTAAATAGATGGAAATTACAGACACGCATTAACATAACCATGATTTATGCAGAAACAAACAGAAATATGGATTTAGACATTAGTTGTGTCCAATGTTCCCTCTAAGCTGCGCGCGTGCGCGGCCGCGCAGAAAATAATAAAATGCCACGCAGAGGACTGACGCGAAACGTGTGGGGAAATCCATTTGATTGTAGTTTAAGTGAGAAATAATTTCAGTGTTCTGGTCAACCGCTATAGAGTGAAAACTGGTGAATGCAGTTTACAGGTTTCATAGAAAGAGAACGATGTGAGCGCGTGTGATTGGCAGTGAGTCGTGTGTGCGGACCAAATAGATCAATACGAGAGGCAACGAGAAACGCATAGACATGTGAAATAAAATCACATCATAATGTTTTAAAGAAGAGTGGTTTGATTAAAGTGGTGGAAATAACGGTTGATGGACACAGAACGGTTACAACTACACACCCACCCACGTGCAAATTCAAAATACATCATTAGTTTAAATAGATGTTTTTGTGTGGGGGGGAGTTTCAGGGATGGTTAGATTATAAAAGATTAGATTATATTCACTTTTCTTGAAAATATTTAGCTATTAGATCTATTTAAATGCTTTGTTTTCATAATATAATAATATAATATGTAAACAAATTTAAGCATTTAAACTGATATATTATATCACTTCAAATACTTCAATTCGTTTTTTTATATTATATTATGCCTATATTTTATTATATTATAAGCCTAAATAAAGAATCTCACAAGGGTATTGTTTAGGGCTCCTTGCCATTAAAAAGTTTGAAACCCCCTGCTAAAGAAAATATTGGAAATTCATAAGCAATAAACAATCATTTAACTTTGATGGTTTAATGCTTCCTGTACACAATTAATTGACTGTACAAAAACACTTTATGGTTTTCCCAAACCATCTCAGTGTAACAGCTTACTTTTCTTTCATACTATATTCTATTATTGTAAAGAATTGAACTGTCCTGCAGAAGATTTTGTAAATTATTTTTCATAGGATTTCTTGGTAAAGACTGTACAGTTAACAGCACTGTAAAAAAAAATATCAGGTAACCTAAAATGTGCTTCATTTAGTGACTTCTTAATTTGTTAAGAAGCTTGTTTTTCGAAAATATGATTTAATACCAATAAGTTACATCAAGGGTCAAATAAAATAGAAATGGCACATTCAAGTTAAAAGTTACAACTGAATGTTGAAACCATTGTGTTTCTACGTATGCTGTACAGGTCAGGTTTAAAGAATATTTTTGCTCAGGTGGCGAAAAATGCCCGCCCAATAGAAAAAGGTTTTGCTCAGCAAGAAAAAAAATTAGAGGGAACATTGGTTGTGTCACAATAAGCTTTTTGGGGAATTGTGTCACAAAATCAGAATTCGGATGATTGGAATTCTTTGCAGATACCAAGCAGGCCCAATTATGAATCATTCTCACATTCTTATTTAAATTGATGACTTAGTAACGGCAATGTGTTTTAAATATGAATAAACAGTAATTAGGTGATTTTAAGCATTTTTATTCATTAATATCAATATTTTATTTATTAAAATCTATATTTTTTATTTAGATTACCTTTGCCTAAATATTTAATATTTTAAAATGTAATGGTAGAATTTAAAACTACAAAATGTTAAGTGTTTTATTTTTCATTGTAGTATTTTATATTGGTGCATCCTTCATTTTAAAGTAAGTAAAGATGCATATTAATTCTCTCAGACATGAGAGGCCTTCATGTTATTAGGCCTTCATAATTTTAGTAAAAATTGTATCATTATTATTAATAATAATTTGTAACTGTATTGTTATTTGTGGCATGAAAATGTGGTTAATGTGCTATGGAAACTACACAAAATGCTGACGAAAAACGATCTGTTTTCACCTTGGCCTAAACAACAACTGTAGAAGAATGATGCGTCTCTTTTATAACAAGCACTCTTGACAATTTGTGAATAGATCACCTTGCAATTTAATTTTGATGTGGGATGCAGTTTTGTAGTCCGTTTTAAAAACATTTTCATTGGATTCCTCAATCCTCATTCGCACGTGACATGTCAATGTAGCAAGTGTGGTGATGTCGTTATGAAATAAGGGAATATTTACTAATATTAATTTGATAATAACACTAGCTTTAAATAATAATAATAACTTAATACATTAATGGGAAAACTAGCCAATTATCATCTTGATATCGTCAAAAGCATCTGCCATTGGCGATATCATCGATACACGTACTATCGTCTCTCGGCACAACCCTATACCTGACTGAATGAGTCCAGGGACACTCCATTTTCCAGGAGAAACAGTCTGGTCTCTTGAACGATCTGCGTCTCTCCGAGGGCCATCCTCACAGCCAGACTGCCATCAGACTCCTGCATACATACACAAATCCAGTGTTACCCATGTTAATCCTCTCAAGAAAAAGACAATTTACAGGACCAAAATACTCACGTGATCTAACACTTTGCTCTTGGTTGTGTTGTATTTCTGAGCGATGGCATCGGCCACTGCGCTCGTGCCCAAAAACAGTGTGTTCCAGTTATGAGAGCTGTGTAAAATAAAATGAAAAAACAGTGAACACAACAGGAAATGATCCAGTAGAGGCTTTCAGCTCCAGATAGGTTATCAATTTCTGACCTGCCGCTGGCTGATTTGTCTTTGGCATCTTTACTTCTCTTAAATGAGGAGCTGCCTGGAGTGTTGGGCCCCTGATCGGGATTTTCCTTTTTCAGCCTTGAAGCCATGACATGCAGAACCCGCCCCTAGTGGGTCCAAACAGTTGTAAGAAAGCAAATAAAACTACGCAGACAGAAATGAGATGAAAGTGATCAGTACCTGGAATACGTGGCCGTCCAGTTGAGTCAAGGCTGAGACTGCGTTCTCTGGTATCATGTATGTCACAAAGGCAAAGCCCTTGGGCTTCTTAGTCAGACTGTCTATGGGGAAGTGCACCTCAGAAATAGGACCTGATGAAGACACGAGAAAAATAAGTGGCTTTTAAACACGGATCGCGAAATGATAAGTGGCAGATCTCCAAGACTCACCATGTTTGATGAAGACTTCTTTCAGATCTTCTTCAGTGCATGTGTAGGGCAGGTTCCTGATGAAAAGTCTTCCCGATTCCGCCACGTCTTCCTCTTCCTCATCGTCCCTCAGCTCACGCACAAAATTTCTCTCCTTTTTGCTTTCCTTCGCAGGCATTTTGTTTTTAAAGTTGTTGGTTCTGAACACTTCGATATAGCGCCCCCCTGTGAGTTTACACAGATAATGTATTGCACATGAACAAGTGTTATTTGCAGGACTTGTTTTTGAATTGGTTGTGCTCCCAAAACAAAACTCACAATTGTGTACTTGTCAAAAAGAGTGAAAAATGACTTACCCATGTAGTCTCTGTTCAGGCGCAGGGCCCTCTCGACCTCTGCTTCTGAGCGCAGGTCCACATACACGTAACCTTATCGCAGGAAATTCAACCAATCAAATGGCACCAGAGTGACATCTTTAGACCAGCAACAGACAGTAAACAACAGAAGCTCTTACCTGTGTTGCGCCCATCCTTGTTTTTGGCAAATCGAATGGCAACAGGTTTCAGAGGCACCATAAATTCTTTCACTTGTTGCTAGAGTGAAGTGGTAAATCAGACAGACAGGACAAAAATAATCAGGCAAAAATGACTGTTGTCAGGTCCAAAAAGATCAATTAAAAGATAGATGTCTAGATTTGTGTTATTTATGTGACAACAGTGTTCTGTATTAATAATTACATTTATTAATAACAATAACCTTAAAAAATAAAACGATTCTCCCAATTAGATTTTAAAAGGCAGGATATGTTAGTTTTATAAAAAACAAGTAGGGGTGTACCAGTATTGCAAATAACTGATAAATGGCAGATATTATAAATCCATGCTACTTTGTTTTTTGTTTCTTAAAGAAAGAAAGAATATTTGATTTTAGGCATTAGAAATTTATACTGTACAGTATGAAAGATGCATTAAATATTACTTTAATTTACCCTTCAAACGTTTGGAGTCAGTGTGATTTTTTTTTCTAAAGAAATTATTTTTTCCCTATGATATTATTAATAAGAAATGTTTCTTGAGCATCAAATCAGCATATTAGAATGATTTCTGAAGGATCATGTGACACTGAAGACTGGAGTAATGATGCTGAAAATTCAGCTTTACATCACAGGAATAAATTACTTTATAACATATAAACATGTAAACATTTTTGATCAAATAAATACAGGCTTGGGGAGAAAGTGAATTCTTTAAAAAATATATATTTAAATGCAATAATGACCCCAAACTTATACTTAAAAATTATATTATTAGGAATATACTTATTCACCTATATAAAAAGTGTTAATCTTACACATTGCTATAACTAATTTCTATGCTAATAACAAGAACAAGAGTGTAAGAGAGTAATAGTAACACACCAAGTGCCTGTGGTTAATTAGGATTACTCTGTAATTATATATGTAAATACATGGCAACATGAACACTGTAAAATAAAGTAAACTTAATAAAAATAAAAACGTATAATAATAAAGGGACCTGGTAAAACAGTCCTTGAATATTAACAAAAGTTGTTGAACAAAAACAAACTACATGTTCAATATCGGCCAATAATCAATAATATCTCACCTCTTTGACGTTGAATGGAGCACCTCGTAGCTTGACTGTGAACCCTGTGCTCGACTCAATCTATAATAGTGTATGAACAGCAAAAACAAATGAGCCTTTAATAGCCAACTATTCAATATTAAAGCCCATGACAGTTTTATCACACTGACCATGTTCTGGGCTGCTGGCTTATATGCACTGTCTGTGTGCTGGACCAGGGACTCTTCCTCTTCCTCTTCCTCTTCCTCGTCCTCATCGGCAGCATTGGCACTGTCCTCTTCATTCTTTTCCATCTCTTTTTCATCCACCATGTCTGATTTCTCCACAATTTTGGAGCGAAGATAGTCCATGTCAGATAGATCTTTCTTTAAGGCTTTCTTAGCGGTATCTGGTAAGAAAACACATTTGGAGAGCATAATAAAATCACACCTACACAAATACAATACAAGTGCATGAAGAAAAGATTGCACTTTTATGTTACCTTTATGTTAGAATCGATTTGCCAGCACTACTTTATATATAAAGGCTTTAATTAAAGTGTTACCAAACGATCTTTACAACCCACAGAAAAAAAGTTGTATTGCCTGCTATAGGAATCACAAAAAAAGAATCTAGAATTCAGCACAAAGTTCTCACCTTGTTTGTCCTCTTCATCAGCAGCATCCTCATCATCACTCAATTGCTCTGATTCATCAGAGTCAAAGTTCAGGTAATCATCCTGAACAGGCGCTTTCTTCTGCTTCTGCTTCTTCTGCTCCTCCTTCTTCTTTTTCTCCTTCTCTTTTTCAGCTTCAATAGAAGCCGCTTCCACTGTGTCATTGGCCCACGTGGGCACCTGTGTGCGTTTCTGGTGTGCAGCCAGGAACTCCTGGAAGCTCTTGTCTTTTTGAAGCTAAGGATTTCAAATGACATTTTATAGGATGTCTGCATTTTTACTGGAGTATGATTTGTGTAATGCGATAAAGAATAGACTTTAGGAGTAGCAAACTTACATCTCTAAGAAGAATACTCAAAGGCTTCTTCTGCTGCTTCTGTGGAGATAGAGTGACCGCATAAATTCAGTTTGATTTATTTGTATTGCACTTATTTCAATACACATTGTTCCAAATAAACAAATGAAGATAAAGAAAAGAAAAATCAACAAGGCATTTCAATGAAACTGTTTGCAAACAATAAAGTGAGTGGGTCATAAATGTCCCATTTTGCTCAGCGCAGACACTGAAAAATGACAAATTAATTTACCAATGAATCTTCCTTTTGTTCTAGTTGTTCACATGATTCTTGTTCTTCTGTAACTTTGTTTGCTGATGGTTGACGTGTGTGTTTGCTCCAAGGTCTGGCTTTGTTTGGATCTCCAAAATCTGTGCAGGATTCCACCTTAATCAGGCAGATGATGAATAAGATGAGAATTACAAGATACAATGTTTAAATAAACTATTTGCATTACTATTTTAATCTATTAGTGATTTCCTTCCAAATCTCTTGGACTCCTCCATGATCTTGTCACTTACAGTAACTCTAGATGTGTCCACAAAGCTCTTGTCGAAATGTTTCAGAGCTTTATCTGCATCTTCTTCCGTCTTGAAACCAACGAATCCAAATTTGCGGAATTTGCCATCTTTGGTGAATTTCAACGTACAATCTGTAAGCGTCCCAAAATCCGCAAACATCTTACGGAAGCGACCTTCCTTCATCTGGGGACACAGAATAAATACAATTTCAATAGTTGTAAGACGGTTCAAATCACATATATTTCATACACATACAGTATAAGGGCTCAATGCTTTTATCATTCCCTGACAGTGCCTATAACAATTTATGGTTACACTTTATTTTAAGGTGTCCGTGTTACAGTGTGATTATACATTGCATGTATGCACAACTATGCATTAGTTGCATAATTACGCATATTACTACAGTAGCTGCATGTAACATGTGTAACAAGAATACTGTAAAATAAAGTGTTACCCAATTTATTCTACAATGCCATGTTACACTGATGCTATCAAATGTAATGCCATGATGCTTTATTAGGCTACACCATAGCATTCAAATAGTGCTCCACAATACTCTGGGCAGTACCATGAAATCTCCATGACACCAACTCAAATAAAAACATAGTTGAGCCTTTTTGTTAGTGAACACAGTAAAGAGGGGTGTTTAAAAGTTAGTTAACGTTACACTTTCGTAGGCGCATGCATCTTTGACAGCGAACTTGCAAAATGTTCTAATATCATTACAAATACTCACCCCATTTGGGAGATTCTTGACTATTAACCTTGACATTTTTCCGATCCTGGTGTGATTTTTTGAGGTAAAATAACAATATATTGTTTTATCAACAATAAAGCATGGTGCGCTTCAGTAAGACGCCATCTTTACTGTATGACGTAAACCGCGTCACCAAAGGAACTTGATGAGTATAGCTCCCTCTTCTGGACATAACATGAATGATAGGATGCACTCATAGACATTTAAAATCATTGTAAACTCACAAGAACCTAACCTTGAGCCATTAGGATTGTTACCATCTCTGCTGTATACAGATAGCCTGACTACGTCAGACTTCGTACTTCCGCTCAATTTCATTTTGCTTCGGTCTATGAAGCAAAGCGAAGTAGCAGAGTTTGGTATTACCAGGCTAGTATACAGATGTACCATCTGTTATTCTTACAGCCTTCCTAAGCTCAAACTCTGGAACATAGAATGCACCCCCTGTCCTTCCAGTTTCTATGCTTTTTGAACCATCTGTGTATATTTGAAGAAAGGTATAATGTTATAATGTGCATTTTTTATTCGGTTACACATCTTTTTTTACATGAAACCCCTCACCTTTCCCCCTGATTTTCTCTATAATTAAAGTCTATTTCAGGCTAGTAACTTAAGGTGGCATTAGAAGTATTACAAATATTGGGGTAAATAACTTTGAGTCTTTGAGTCCCAGTTTCATTAATCCGCTTCTTTTTTTTTTCTTTTTTTTTCTGTAGATTAGTATGCCATAGTTAGTTTGTATCTTGCTATGATGCACTAATCCTTTCCTTTACTTAAAATAAAACTTTGGCATATTAAAATACATAAAACTACATATTTGTATTGTAACTTTGTATTAGGCATCGTCTTTTAAACATGGAAAAAAATGTGCTTATAGGTAAGGCAGTTACGCCATTTAAAACATAAAATCTAAAGCTTAGATCAATGAAAAGTCTGTATCTGTTAACAAACATGACATATGTCTCTTTTTTCTCATAACTGACAAAGATTATAAAAAGTTGAAATGCAGTTCTGTTGACTAATATCTTGGATTTAATTATAGGCCTAGCTAAATACCATTTAAAACCTGTCTTAATCAATGCCGTTAAGTCTGTATATTGTGCTCTTTATAAGAACACTTGCATGCAATCATAATCTATAAACTGCCACACTGCACAATTAAGAGCTTCTCTATTAAACACACCCTAGACCACAGTCAGCATACATGCATTCAGATTCTACCACTGGTTGGACCTCTTGATCTACAAAGGAAGCTAATTCAAGATTAGTATGATTCATCATTACTTTTCACACACATTCATCTTCAATAAAGGACTGAAGTGAGTCAAGTCTATTAGAGACACTTTGTCTGCGCTTCAGTGAATGACATTCCAAACCACATTTGGGTAGAGGTTTAGAGCCAACTCACCAATAGAAAAATGAAACCTAGATCAGTAAAGTAATATACTGAGTCGATAATTAAATGTGTTTTATATATTTATAGAAATACATTAAAGCACAATGACATTGTTACTTTTGTCCACAGGTAATTTCAGGGCGTGTCAGTGCATGAATTTTGTGAGGTGCATTAAGCTGAAGAAATGACTTAGGATAAGACTTATAAAATATTTTAATACTATTCAGTACATTTTCTTTACAAACACAAACAATAAATAAAAAAAATAAATATTAAATAAAAAAAGAGCTGAAATGACATGTAAACATCCGGTGCTAGCTTTCCAAACAGCAGGATGCTTGTCAACAATTTGACAAAAATCTATTAGCATTGAACATTTACAACTAAACTTTTTACATTTGTAATTGTACAACCTTAATCAGACTTCAACCCCTCACATTTGGCAACTTTGTTAAATATGTGGATATATGTTGCCTTTTATGGCAATATATGAGCACTACAGTAATATTTAAGGTTACTATCATTGTACCCTTGATAGTACCCTTATCATCAGACCTGAGTCAGTAGTTACAATATGGCACAAATTATGACCATCATACACAAAACAGACCATCATATGTCCACTGTGTGCTTATGCAGCGAATCAATATGGCTTAAGTAGAAACAGAATCACAAAGTGCATAATAAGGGTCCATCTGACACATGTAAAAATGTTACATGAAAAGCTTTTTAAAAAAAGGAGAAACAAAATATAAAATCATTCAATTGGAGGAGGGCATTCTGGTCTTTGTTCAGTCCATTTTGGGCCAGCTAAATTGCCAATTGCAAACAGGTCTGCTTCAGTCAACCGCACTGTCACACTGCAAACAGATCCAGGGTCCCCGTCGGGTCTTGCAGGCCCAGAATGCTGTAGGCAATTCTCTTCTGATGACCTGGCAGCCGTACTCCAATTCTACTAATATCCCTTTTTGAAAAAGAAAAGGAGGAACGGGTTAGATGAGGCTATATAAAGTTTCAATAATTCATAAGCTTTTATAATTGGTTCATTTTGTCATCTTTTTATGGATGCAAGTAGGCATACTTACTCAATTTTCAAGCGCAACACCTGTTCCATAGTTTTAATTCCAGCAAGGGCAAAGGTTTCTCTGTACTGGGCCATTTTGATAGATTCCAGCCATTCATCCACTGACCTGAAGGAGGCGCCATCACAACCACTAGTGCTGGGTAGACGAATAGACACACTGTGGACAAAAAAACAGATATTTATTGAACAGCACAATATAAACCTTTATAGTTTTCTGCACTAGAACATTTACCATTAGCGTTTTGTAAACCGTTTCTTACCGTGGGTCGATACTGGCAATGGCCGAGAGTGATTCTGGGTTGTGAAGCAGCTTCTCGAGCAAGTTGACGATATCAACAAAGCGTGGCCGTTTGGAGCGGTCCTGCGTCCAGCACTGCAGCATCAGCTGATTAACCGCAGACGGGCAGCACATTGGTGCCGGCAACCTGAAGCCTTCGTTTATGGATTTCATCACCTTTGATCAAAAGTATGAAGAAAATGGTTAAGCTCATGCTCACAGATGCTCACAATCAATGTGTTTTAAGTGAAAGGTTAAAACATTTATTCCTAGGGTGGTTGCCTAAGGTGTTCACTGGTTTTTAGAACATTACTAGGTGGTAATTTCCTGGCTCAATTCATAAAAGCCCACATAAAATACATTTTATGTTCATTAGTTATGGTTTGGGTACCCAATTTATGTCAAACTCCTAAAGTATGAGCAATTAGCATTAATAAATAATTAGAAATATCTCATACCTCATGGTTGCTCATATCCCAGTAGGGTCTTTCTCCAAAGGACATCACTTCCCATATGACAATTCCGAAACTCCACACATCACTAGCTGAAGTGAACTTCCTGTAAGCTATTGCCTCTGGTGCGGTCCAGCGAATAGGAATTTTTCCTCCCTAAAAGAGTAAGAGTAGAGTCAAAACCATGAAAATGATGTTTTAATGAATTTATATACTTTTATGACGATTCTGTGCATTCACATCACTTACAGTAGTGGTGTAGGTTCCCTCGGGAAAGTCCTCCAGCACTCGCGACAGGCCGAAATCTGAGACCTTACACTCCAAGTTGCTGTTGACCAGGACATTGCGAGCTGCGAGGTCCCGATGGACGTAGTTCATGTCTGAGAGGTACTTCATCCCTGCGGCTATGCCATTGAGCATTCCCACGAGCTGGTATGAGGAAAAGTCTCCATCGTGATCCTGTGGAGCGCAAAGAAACATTAATGATTCTGCTACATCCTTGCAAATGCATTTAGCAGAAATGTAAACAATCGTTTACCAAGACATACCCTTAAATACTGGTCCAGAGCTCCATTCTCCATGTACTCTGTGATAATCATGGCGTCTTTGACTGAAATGATAGGAAGAAGAGAACATCATGTTAAATATGTTCTGTTTTATGGAATGAACAAGAAAGTTACCAGAAACATGATTTTATAGCTTGATACTTACATTTGGTGACAACACCCTCCAGACGGATTATGTTCTTATGGGAAAACTGGCCCATGATGCTGGCTTCACTAAGGAAGTCCTGCCTCTGCTTCTCGGTGTAGCCTGGCTTCAGTGTCTTTACTGCTACTGCGACCTCACAGCGTCCTGGTACCTTCAGAGAACCACGGTACACCTCGCCAAATTCTCCTATGGAGCAGTATGGAAATACAGTTGTTAATTAAAAATATAAATTAAAGTTAATTTTTTTTTTTTTTTTTGAAAACACAGAATAGACACTAAAATGACTAAACTAAATTTATAGAAACAAACAAAAAAAATGACAAAAGCACAACAAAATTACTAAAACGGATACTAAAATTAATGTAAACTAAAGAAATTCAAATAAAAGCTAGTTCAAAATATTAATATATACTATAACATTATATAATACTAAAGATAAACTGACCTGCACCAATGACTTTCTGCTTGGTGATGTGACTAGGGTGAATCTCACTGGCAAACTTGAGGACAGCCGCACAGGGGTCTTCATATGTATGGGGGTCAATGTAGGTCTTCAAAGGAAGGAGTTTTTCTGTAAAATGAGACGGTAGGTGTAAACTTTGGGTAAATGACACCCACTGTACGATTGTGGTGACGAAATTTGCGTCAAGTGCACTCTACGAAGAAACAAAAGTATCCTTTGGACTTTAATGCCAAATACATGTATGCATACTTACAAATGCAAAACAAATTCAATTAGTTTCTTACCTGGACATGAAAAGTAATCTCCATCAACCCTCCGTCGGACATGGGAATTCAGCCTCCTGATGAAAGAACATTCAATATCACATTAGTGAGTCAATTTAAGCTCCTATCTTGATGATATCCTAAATGAGAATGATTGCACTTCAAAGCTGGAATGTAAACAGTATGGGCAGGCATAGGGTGAAGTGACTAAGGCAAAGCCTGCTTTGTGGTCTGGAAAACAATGGACTGGAAAAAGTGAGAGCAGAGATAGCTTCTCTAACCTTTTGTGCAGAAGCAAAATAACCGCCACAATCAGCAACATGACTCCGCCCCCAGCAATGGCTCCCATGACAACCATGGAACTACTCTGTGTCTGAGATTCTGCTGTTGGATAGAGAAAAAAGAAAAAATAGTTCACTCTACTCAAACTGACAAACATTCACGCACCACCCACAGCTTATCACAAATGCATCAAGGTTAC